GGAATGCGCGAGCACAGGCTGAGGCGCCCGGCTGTGGGGCGGGCAGCGCGCGCGTCACTTCGATTAGAGCTGGGGAATCAGGTGCCCAGAGCACAGCCTTGCCGTGGCCCCGGCGCCCCGGGGCTGCCGCCAACCTCTCCGTGTTCTACAAAAAGAACAATAAAAAAGCGCAAGGCGAGATAAAAACTGCCCGTATCAGTCACATCCTCTCGCTGGCTGTTCCTGGCCAGGCTGGGGCCGGTCCCGCAGACCCTCGGCACCGCTGGAGGCTGCGGCCGCTCAATCCCAGCCCCGGCACGCGGACAGGAGCCTTTACATAATGCAGGAGGGAGGCAGCATGGAGCGGGGCGGCCTATTTTTATCAAGATCCATCCATTACAAAATGGGAATCCGCAGCTCTGCCTGTGGGCAGTGGAGAGGAGCCGGCTCCCATGGGACAGCCCGGATGGATCCCCTCCCAAGGTACCGGCGGCTCTGTGCTGTGGCCAGCAACCCACGGTGCCTACAGCCCGGCTGCCTGTTACAATCATCGTTTGGGGCCTTTTCACCCCATTCCTGGGGTGCTGCGGGTGCTGTCAGATGCTCCCCACACCAGACACTGCTCACCAGTGGGAGCTGCTTCTCCCAGGGCACCAGAGGCACCGGACGAGGCCACAGAGAGGAAGGGACGCGGGCAGCAGCAGCGCAATTTGAACAGGCAGCACGAGCACAACGGAGCCCAAACACTGATGCTGGTACTGTGCATCCCACCGCATCCCGGGGTGCCATTCCTAGACATGCACCAAGCTCCCTGAGGAGCCTCAGCGGCCTCGGAGCCCTCTGGAAAATGCCAAGCCAGAAGCACAGGGGCTTCGCGCCACCCACACCTCCCTCCCACGGCCCGGCCGGAGCACGGGCAGCAGGAGCAGGTAGATGAGGATGGCCCTGTGCACAGGGATCTTCCCTTGCTCCAGGAGGGCAAAGAAACCACGTTGAGGTGGAGGCTGTTGGGAGGAGGCAGCAGTGTCCAGGAGCAGGACCAGGGGCTTTGGCGCCCATCCTGGCCCAGCTGCTCTCCAGGAATTCCCGAAGATGCTCTTCCCCCTGCTCCAGCTCCTGCAGCGGCAGCGCTACCTGGAGCATCCCTGGCTCCGCATGCAGGGGCTGCTGTGACACAGCCTACCACGCTGGGAACAGTAATTTCTCTAACATCCCATTCCTGGAGCTCCAGAGCCATCCCACGGCGGGGATTTTTCCAACCCAGAGAATTAGCAGGGATGAAGAGGGAGCACGTAAGCGGGACGGCCAGTGCACAGCGTGTCTTGCCCTGCGCTGCCGCTCCCAAGAGATCGGAGCCCTTTCAACCCCGGCGTATTAATTTCCCCTAATTGGCTTTGACAGGGATCCGTATCGCTGTCCAAAACGCAGCCAGCCGTGCGCAGGGCAGGAGCACGAGCGGGAAGGAGGAGGAGGAGGAGGAATTGGCACCCACGGGCGAGTGCAGCCGGTGGCCAACGAGGTGTCACCCTGTGGAGGGGGTCAGGGCCCTGTGGTGCTGCAGTGGGGAGCAGGCCAGGCTCCTGGTGCGGCCAGGTGGCCCCATCACTGCAGCAGCTGCTTCGTCCCATGTCCCCTGTCCCCAAAGCTGCCCTCTGCTTCCAAGGCACCTTCCCTGCTCGGGGACGCTGGGGACCCCTCAGCTGCGCTCTGCTCCGGACCTTGCAGCACAGCTGCAGCAGGGCAGCCCACGCACTTATCCAGGAGCTCCATCTACATCTCCATGTCCAAGAGCACCATGCACGGGGACAGCTCCAGAACGGTCCCTGCACTTGTCCAGGAGCTCCATGTCCAGGAGCTCCATGCACATGTTCAGGAGCTCCGTGTCCAGGATCTCCGTGTCCAGGAGCTCCATGCACATGTCAGTGGTAGGCAGCACCGTACCCATACGCAGGAGCATGACATGCATGTCCCAGTACAAGGTCCTGCAGGCCCTGTCCTGTCACAGCGATGGTGACACAGGACCCAGAGCAGCTGGGGGAGGACGGCAGCATGTGCCTGCTGGGCCCATAAATGCGAGTCGCTCATTGAGGCTCCCCTCAGCACCAGCCCAGCAAACTCGGCAGGGATCTCGTCTCCAGAGACCCTGGAGCCAGGCGGGGAAAGGGCAGCAAATTGAGCAGCAAAATGGGGACAAACCCCGCTGAAACAGGGCTGTTGTGGCACCCCTGCACCATGCACATGGTAGCCTCGTCCCCACAGTGCTGTGCTCTGCCTGGGTTGTGGAAGCATGGAAAATCCCACCAGGAACATTGCCGTTCTTTCCAAAGGAGCTCCAAGGCCTCCAAAGAGGCCACCAGCCCATATGCCGTCCATCCTCCTCCTCTCCCAGTGCCTCATCCTCCTGCACAGAGAGCAGTGGACACCAGGATCACGGGGCAGGGGCTGGAGGCCGAGCGGGACACACGGCCGCACGCACGAGCCCGATGAAACCGAGGAGATTTTCTGCCACCCCCCCTTTAATTTCTTCCCCTGACAGCAATGGCAGGTGTCAGCCGCAGCAGCGGGCAGAGTCCCGCATTCGGCTGCATGGGCAGATGCAGCAGCATCAAACCTTCTTGCTTAAGGATTTTTAAACCAGAAGTGTCCTGAAAATCCTCGGTTTGACGGGATTAGCATGGCAAATTGGGTCCTCCATGAAAATGCAGGCAAAAAGCAGATCGAGGGCCAAGGACGGTAAATGCGTGTGCGCTCCCAGTGCTAGAGCATTTCGATGCAATGAGGAGTCTCCTTCCTCGCCTGCCCCAGCAGCAGCAGGCAGGGCTGGGGGGCGGCCGCCGGGGCTCCGGAGCACAGGGGTGCTGGGGGGTTGCAAAGCAGGGGGCTGCAATGGGAAACGCTGCTTCGGAGCGATGCTGGAGCACCGCAGTGACACCCCCAGCTCCCACCGAGCGCAGCCGGCAAAGGAAACGCTGCGTTTCTTTCGCATTCTATTATCAATACGGGAGTTGCTATCAAAGGCTCGGGGGTGGCAGGAGGGCCCCTTCGGGCTGCGGGTGCTGCCAGATCCGCGCTCTGCTCCTCTGTTTTGGGAAACAAAGGGATGGTGCCGGGTGGCTGCAAGCCCAGCAGGACGTTGGCCCTTGGCTCCCTTTGCATCTCAGGGGTGCCCGTCCCCGGTGGGGCCGGTCCCACTGAGGGCTGCACCCCTGCACGGGCAGCTCCGCGTGTCCGGGAGGCAGGAGCCGCGTCCCGCCGCATCGCCCAGCGGCGGCCCCCGA